TGCCATCTCCCCACCCAGCTTGGCTCTCTTCGGCAGCTCTAAGCTTTGTTCCCACACCTGGCCTCCTGTCCTCACAAGTGACAAGGTTACGAGCCCCCGATGCCCTCCCCACACCCTACAATGTCTCCCCAACACAACAGGCCCCCTCGGTTCCACCTTCCTCTGGCCTGACAGCCTTCCGCACCCCTGCGAGCCCTCCCAGGCTGACACTGTTATTATCCTACCCAAGGCCTTTCAGAATGAGAAACCGAGGCCCAGACACAGGAAGTGATGTGCCCAAGGTCGCACAGCAAGTCTGTAACCAAGCTGGAAACTGCCCCACAGTCTCTCGCCTCCCACACAGCACTACCCACCTCATTCATTCATTCACTGACTCACCCACTCATTCATTCATTTACTCGCTCACTCACTCAGCAAACCTGAACAGCTCCCACTACCCTGAGGCACACAGATACAGCAGAAAACAAGACGGCTGCCCCTGCCCTCCTGGAGCTCCCAGCCTGCAGAGGGAAGATAGACATAGAGAGTTCATTCAGTGCTGGGATCCAGGGAGACACGGGCTGAGGGCAAGACACGCTGGGCCCTTAGGCGCTCCTAGGCCAGCAGGCAAGCGGCCAAACAGGAGCTAGGTTCCCTGGAAGCCAAGCCCACTGCACAGCACAAAGGTCCTTAGGGGAAGAGGGGACCGTGGGGCCTCGCCCACACTTGGTGCCTGTCCCAGGTGTCCCCCACACTCCTCTCCGGCCTTGACCTCCTGGCCTCCGTGCAAGGCAGGTGGAAAGTTCTGCTAACCTCTCACCTTGATGCCAGATACTGCCCAGGCTCCTGCCCCTTCACAGGGATCCCTGAGAGAGACTGATTTTCAAGAAAAAGACAATTTTTAGCCCAAGGGGATGCGCTCAGGCCCTCTTGGGTAAGTGTTTATGGGTGAAAAGGCTTTCTCGGAATCCCTCAAATCACACCACACAGGAAGCCACCTCTAGGCAGAAAAGAGGCCCCAGTCACCCCATCTCACACCCCAAGCCACCCCTCCTGTTGCCCCCGGGCACCATCCCCAGACCTCAAGGCCACCATCCACTCTGCTTCCACCCAGACAGCTCTGCACAAATATTTACATAGCTCCTCTCAGGCCTTCCGGAGACACAACAGGGAGTCGCCCTTCCGACACTCTCCAGGCCGAGGGCACAGGGGGGTACACAGCCTCAACCCAGCGCGGAGGCTAGACAAGAACCTTCCCCTGCCCCCAGCAGGCCAGGGGAGCCTGCCCCCGTACAGCTCAGAGGGAGACAGGCACCAGGTCCTGGCCAGCAGAAGGGGGACACCCTTACCAAGATGAACAGACCACCCCCATGGCCTTCAGCTCTATGGAAAACAGATCCCTTGTCTCTAAGCTCCAGCTCCTGCAGGGTCACTGAGGGCTGCTTCTCTTATCTAGAAGACAAACACAGCTGGTCACCAACCTTTGACTCCCATCTGCCTAGCCTTAGGGCTTCCCACTTCAAGAAAAATTTTCATTTTCACCAACGCAGACCCACACAGGGCCTGGAGGCTGGATGTGGGAAGTGGGAAAGGAGGACAGGGCCTCTGATTTAAGGGGGCAGGAAGAGTGGGGAAGATGCACATGAGGCCGGGGGAAAGAAGGCCCAGCATGTGCAGGGTGGCAGGAGGTCCAGAAGCATAAAGCCAGTTCCAGAGGGGCCTCCTTGAGCTCCTAGGAGCCCAAGGTCCAAGTCAGGGGACAGCAGCCCTGCCCGTGTCTAGCCACCTTTTGGGTTCTGGAGGCACGGTGCACTGGGGAGCAGCCTGGGCCCGGGGTCTCCACCCCTTCCCCCAGCTGCAGCATCAGCTGTTTCAGTGGGGGCCCTCTGACCTTGTTGCCATGGCAACTGGCCTGCTGCTAGAGTGGAGAAGCCAATCGACTCTTCTCCAGAGACACCCCCATCCGCCCACACACAGGCTCCAGGGACACAGGGACATAGAGATATGGACAGGACCAGCAGGAGTATGGGGAGACAGATAGGACCTTTGGGACAGACCCAGAGAGGCACAGGTCACAGAGCAGAGGAAGAGAGGTAAAAATTGAAATAAGCAAGAGGCAGGTACAGGGAGAAGGAGGTAAAGACCAAAGGGACAGAGACAACCAGGTGACCAGGCAGGCCTGCCACAGACAAAGGCAGGGAGGCCTGAGTGTGGGGAGAGAAAGCTTCCGAGAGGATGGGGCACTTAGGGCCAGCAGAGCACGCTGCATGGAGGCAGCGCAGCGCAGAGAAATGGGAACGAAGAGCAGACAGAAATGAGGGGGAGAGAGAGGGGACCTCCTGGGATATGGTAGGAGAGAAGCCACATCCGCCCAAGCTACAGCAATGCGGGGGCACAGGTGTGTACCCAGCTAGCACCTGCTGCCCAAGATGTCTCCCCGGGGATGTCACAGCCTGCTAGTGCCACATGACTGGGCTCTGCTTGCAATTCCATCTTTATCCCGGGCCCGACTTAGCAGGGCGTCAGTGCAGGGCCACTGAAGCCTGGGCACAGGCACGCTGTGTCTCTTCCTCCAGCCACACTCCCCCAGTCTCGCCTCCCCACCTCCCAGCAGCCCCAGCAACTAAATAATGGGGCTGTCTGGCTCCAGGCCCTGAGACTGCACAGAGCTAGGCTGGAGGCACCGACACAGCACAGCTGTCCTTGGCGGCGCCTGCCAGAACGGCCCTACCTCCTCCCCAGCCATTCTACCTCCCTGGGGCTGCAGCCCAGGGACTTACTCCCCCAGGGCTGGCCCAGGCAGAGACCCGGGCAGAGGCCTGGGTAGAAACGGGAGGTGGCACTGGCATTCTTTCCTCGCCTCTACTTGGCCCGTGCACCAACTTGCAGAGGCAGCGCAGGACAGGCCATGGAGTGGCACCAGGGACTGTCTCTAGGCCAAGGGGAGGGTGACAAAACCCATACCACCCTCAGCCTAGAGGGCCAGGATAAGTGGGACCCCGGTGGCTGAGGGCCAAGGCCAGCCTGCTGGCCAATAGGAGATACCTGATCCCCATGGAAACTAGGTAAGAGCGGAGAAGGGTGCGGCTGGTGGCAGCTGGTGTAGGGTTTTCTGGGTCGCTGCCCCATGTGGAGTAGTAACCTGGAAAGGTGAAGAACTTGAACTCGGGTGGGGACCGAGTGCTAGGCCCACTCCCTCCACTAACGCACTGGTAACCTGACCTTTGTTTCCCACCTTCTCCATCTGGAACTCAAGTAGGCCCAATTAGGTGATCCTCACGTTCACCAAGATTCCACGACAGCTCCCCTGCCGAAGGGGTCCCGCACCCATCCTTCCCCAAAGGAGCTGGCCTGGGCCAGGAGGGAGGACTGGCTCCACCTGGGAGGCCCCAGACCCCTGCTGGCAAGGGGTCCAATCAGCCAGCTCGAGCACTGGCAGCAAGAGGCCTGGCATGAAGCTTGCAGAGTCAGGACCTGCTGTGGGCACGCTCTGAACATCTCAGCACCTTGCCAGGGTCCCCTAGTGAGCACATGATCCCAGAGGAGGAAACAGTTCAGAGAGTCCAGCAACTTGACCAACTCCCACACAGTTTCCCACGTTAGACTCGAACCTGGGATTTATGTGAGTCTATTCTTTTCATTACACCAGTGGTCTGCAAACTCTTAAAATAAAATGTCACGTAAAACACTGTGCAGCGTAGAGACCTGTAACTGCCTAGTGTCACTTTCAGTATACGGCAGGCGGCAGCAGCCATACTGGCTGCGGTCAGACAGACACTGACTCGGTTCCCAGTCCTGACACTTGCTAACTGTGACTCCGGGGAAACTGTTTTGGTTTCTCTGAACTTTAGTTGCATCATCCCAAAAACGGAAATACGAATAGTCTCTATTTCTCAAGGCTATTGTGAAGACTGCACAAGATAACAGAAGTGACCATTGTCCAGCAGGTACAAGCCATCCCCTGCCTGGCGCTTTGCACCTAGCCCCGGGCCCCTCCCTGCCTGCCAGCCGAACAGGATGTGCTGTGAGTGAAGCCTCTTCCCCAGGGCCGCCCAGTGTGGTCCAGCGGTGCTACAGACTGCACCTGCAAAAGCAGGGCCTGGAGGACGCAGACCTTTACAGGGCCGGCTGACACCCTCCAGCATGCGGAGCACAGGGCGCTCCCAGTGCGGAGGACTCGCCCTCTGAAGGCAAGCACCTGGTCTTCCTGCAGGTAGTTCTATGTGCGCAGTTCTGAGCTGGGCTTATGCACACTGGTGGGCAGCAGGGTGTAAGCAGTGCAGCCGCGGTCCCTAACCGCCTTCGCTACTCTCCCCTGCCCACAGGGCCCCGCCCACTGCACCACCCCAACACGGCAGGGCAGTGTGGGAGCAGCCCCGCCCCGCTCTGTTTATCTGATTCCCTCTCTGCTGTCCGGAAGCTCAGAGCAGCTGGACTGTGAGGCGGTGGCTGAGAAGAAACACCTGGCGCAGGAGGGGGTGGCGCTCCCGGGCGCTCAGCCGTGGAGACAAAGGAAACTGAGGTCGTGGGGAAACCACAAACCTCCCCGCAGGTGCGGGCCGAAGTGCGGCAGAGAAAAGGGGCAATCGAGAGACAAGCAGAGAGTCCTGAAGCCCTGCCCGGCGCCTCACCCACGGCGACACTTTCCCAGACCAGTCACCTGGGAGGGGATGCCCCAGGGTAGTAGAGCCCTGTGGCCGGAAGTCAGGGCCCAGCTGCCAACTTGACCTAAGTCTGGGCGCACCACCTGCCATCCCCAGCGCCGTTAAACTCTAGCCACATCTGCCCAGAAAGGAGCCCGAGGGGCCAGGCAGTTGGCCTAGCAGTCCTATGGACACCCCAAAAACCATCCCATCAGAGTTAGGTGGGGACCCTGACGATGCCTCCCGGCTGGCACAAACCACGCGCAGTCTTGGGTACCACCCCTCGAAACCCGCCAGGTTTACCCTCCGCCCCAACCGGTTCCCCGCCCCGCCCAGGCCCCGCCCAGGCCCCGCCCCTCCCGGCCCCGCCCCGCCTACCATCTTTCCGGTAGAACGCGATCTCCACTTTGCGCTCCTCCGCCCCCAGCAGGGCCTGCGCGATTTGCGCTGCGGCGCGGCGCTGCGTGCGCGGCCCGTGCAGGAAGTCGCAGGTGCAGGGCCGCTGCATCACCTCGGCCCGCGAGTAGCCGCACAGCTCGCAGAAGCCGTCGTTGCAGTAGATGACGGCGCAGTTCTCCACTCGGGCGTTGGCGATGATGAACTTGCGGCCTGAGGAGGGGGGCAGGGATGAGCGCGCACGTGAGCGGAGCCCCTGGCCTGGAGGGCTCCCAGCACCTCCCCACGTTTCCCGGTCACACGTAGCCGTCCCGCGCTCCCAGCTGCAGGGAGCACCGCGGGCACTGGGGTCCCCAGCAGGTGGCGAACGCAGCCGCGTCCCGACGCAGGTGCCTCTACAGGCCAAGGCCAGGCGGCGCGCCCCCTGCCTTCCCTGCCCGGCCGGCCGCAGGCTGGCTGCGTGGCTTCCCCCGGGCAGGCGGCCAGCCGCCCGCCGCCCCCTCCGCGCCCGGGCCAACGCCAGCCTGGGCGGGTGTCGGCAACGCGTGTCAGCAGCCGCGGCCGAAGAATAAACACTGGGCCTGGAGAGAGCCCGGGGAGGGCCGGAGATGGCGGCCAGCTTCCTTTTGCTCCAGCTTCCCAGCTTCGGCTTCTTCCTTTTTACCCCTGATCCCTATACTGAGGCGCGCCAAGTAACTCTGAGGCAATCAGGAGCTGGGAAGTGGGTGCGCGGAAGGAAGTGGGGCGCTCCTACCCCGAGGTAGGAGCCATTGTCCTCGGTTTACACATGAAGAAACCGAGGCGCTGGAGAAGTTCGGCCCAAGTCCCCCAGCTCGTAAATGACAGAGCCAGCTTTGAACCTTGTTTGACAGAAGGCAGCAGAATAGCTGGAGAGTCACAGGCCGAAGCCCAAGGTCGCAGGGAACAAGAAAAGGGGGTCCAACTGCAAACCCTGGAAATCTGTAGAGCCTCAGGACGGACCTCAGTCGGTCGCCCACGTATAAGGAAACAGGTCCCAGAAAGGGGCCCCTCCCCGGGGATATGAGGCCTTCTTAAGTGGCCCGGTCAAGGAGAACATCCCCAGTGACCCGTGGCAGCCCCAAGAACCGGGCTGGTGCTAAACAGCAACCCCCAGCTTGGGCCGGGCAAGATGCTCCACTGATAAGAGCCTTCTATAACAGAAGTTGTGGCCACTTAAGCCCCTTTCATGTGGGGCTTTCTCCAGCAGCTGGAGCTCTCCCCTCCTCCTCCCCGCACCAGCAGGCACAGCCCTCAGCCTGTAGGCCTGGGCAGCAGGGGTGCCCGGAGGCAGGCCCCGGCCATGGAAGTCTGGCCTCTTCCCTTCCTCCATCACCCCTCCCTAAACCTCGAGGAAATGACTGTTGGAGTTGGGTCATCTGAAGATCAGTTCCCAAGGCCCTCCAGAACCCCCAGGCAGGCATCAACACCAGGTCCTAGTCTCCTGACACCTCCTAACTCTGCTGCCATCCCCACCTCCACCCAAGGCAGTCCAGAGCACCGGACACACACAGAAGGAAAGCTGTCCTTGTCCTCATCCCCGGCCTGGGAGACAGCAAGTTTCTTCGAAGGCAAGCCCCACCCCACCCCCACATCCTATATTAACATCCTGGAACACCAGCCCAGAGGGACCACAGAGGCCACTTTGGCCAGCTGCTCCACAGAGGTGGAAACTGAGGCCCAGAAAGGGAAGAATCACTCAAGGTCACACAGCAGTCAGCCACAGAGGTGGGACCAGAAGCCCGGTCTCCCAAATCCCACCCCACATCCTCCCCAGGTACTTCCCCTACCACAGCCAGCCTCTGGAGACTGTAGCAAGGAAAGCCCAGGAGGGCCCTCCCCACCCCAGGCCCTCTGTGCCTGTCGCCGACTCCGCCCCCTCGGGATCATCCTGTTCCTCCCTAGAGACAAGGCTGCCTCCCCACTGACCCCTCCTCCCTTGCCCCACCACAGTTACAAGCACGCGTTGTCCTGCGTGCACCGGGTCATGGGCAAGGAATGTCACCCTCTACCTACTCTATGGCAGTCACACCCACCGTAGCACATGCAGCCTTAGGGACAGGGATACGAAATGCCCAGAACATTCACCCAGCCTGGGACACTTCTGGAAGCCTCTCCTGCGAGGCCAGCATTATGGGTGCTGTAGTCCTCATAAGGTGACAGTGTCTACCGAAGGAAAATCCACAGCGTGGGGGTACCATTTCCAGCCCCTTAGCCTCAAGCCTCTGACAGCTCTAGGACACCTTCTCACCACAGGACCCACGATTTTGTAGCCATGTCCAGGACACCTCCCCACACCCCCTACAGGGTCACACACTGCTCAGGGTCACATACTCGGCCACACACGCTCAGGAGCAGATTAGGACTGGCCGATCCCACATCCTTAGCGTTCACTGTCATATACAACACAACACAGTCAAGAGCGGCACACACGCTGTACTTCAGGGTCCCTCAGTTTGGGTCATATAAATCCCGCGTCCTTGCGCACACACACGATCCCATCCACTCCAGACACCCAGAGTTGGAGACACTGCACACTCCTACCCTGCCGCCCTGGCCTGCACACTCAGAGCGTCACAGAGTCTGAGCTGTCCCAAAAGTCTGAGATGAGCCTCCACCCCAAGACCCAACACTAGGCCACTGGGTCCCATGCCCAAGTCCCCCAAGTCCCCCAAGTCTGTCCCCAGCTAGAGCGTCGGGGCCCACCAGCCCACACTGACTCGCACTTGGAGCTGCACACGGCCCGGGCACGCCCCCCCATGTACACTGGGAAGAGCGCGACCCGCCCCCCGACCCCCTCCCCTCCCAACCCCTCCCCCACTCACTCTGGCCCTCAAACTTGCGGATGATCGTGTCCAGGAAGGTGTTCTGCGGCGCGACGTGGCCCCTCCGCACGGGCATCCTGAGCCCATGTGCGGGCCGGGCG